CTATAATTTTAGTTGTGGGCCCTAACAAAATAGGAGTACAGATGCGTAACGTAAGGTCAGAAATTGCGCTTGAGAAACACAGACATAGATGTACTTTTTGTGTTACCGCAACAACGTCATCTTCAGTGCTCCAAGCCGCGGTTGTACCAGGGTCTAAATTTAGCGGACACATGATGACAGTCGACCATGATTAACTTCAAAAAGGTTCGGAAGAAGCACTACTCACCATTCGTGTTACTCGAACGTAAGTACCTAGTGTTTTGTGTTCTGTTTGTACTTCACCTGCTGTTTCTTCATGCCGATGCTCTTTCTCGGCTACGAATGTCCCAATGAATGCATATCTCTGGTGTATTTACCAAGTATTTGACACGCCTGTGTACCTCGTAATTCAGGATATAGGCAAAATGGGACCAAGTTATGATCGTTTCCGCGCACTAACCAGTCAACTTCGTACCAATATCACCAAATTGGTCCCCCCTGCGAACGCTGCGGCTGCTCAAAACGCGAACAGTCTTACGGAAGGAGGAGACGCGTTCAATGCGGTTGGATCGAAGCCAGGTCAACCAGGTTTCGACTCGGAAATGACGGACTCCGTCGGTTGGCGAAAGCGAAAATCACCAGGTAGTGCATCAATGGCCCAATTGACTGGTGGAGCTGGAGGTGGCTCTAACACGTATGGTCACTATCCCGTTGCTGGTGGTTCCGGCGGTTACCATGGTTCGAACACCAACGATGTTGCCGGTCTGAGTGGGACCAGTGGCGGTGAATTCGGTCCAAACGGGTTCGGCTCCGGTCGGGCTCTCGGGCCCCGTGCAAACGGATCCGCTGTGGCCACAGGAAACGGTGCTGGTGGTGGCGGCGGCGGTGGTTTGGTTCGACCCACTCGCCGAACAGCTGGGGCCACTGGAATTTGCGGAGCTGCCGCAATGGGTGGTATTTCGGGTTCTACTTTTGGACCTGATGAAGGACGCGCAAAATTAAATGCATTTGGATTTCCAGTGGATCATCCTCTAAACAAGGAAGGATACAGGTGAATACATAGACCACCTTGTGGTTTCATTCAAATCGCCGTACGATTTATATGAGTTTCAACTTGTTAGATTTTGCTTAGTTGTGAATATGCTGCATAGATGCGGACCATTCACACCAGAAGTTGCGAAATAGCGATCTGAGAAAACACAATGTGTGCTGCTCATTGTCCTTGAGTGAGGTCATTCTACTGACATAGTGCGAAACCACAAATCATGTACTTTGTTCATTTTTCTGTGCTGGAATGCCTACTGAACCGTTTACGTGCATTGACTATTCCCTTCAATGCGTTCGCCTGTCCAAGGGCAGCTGACTGGTGGTTAGTATACAACAAAGCGTGGAAGTAACTAAGCAAGTAGTAATCGGTAGTACCTGGCAGATCCACGTGGTAACCAGGAGTTCGTTTTTGGTGACCGATCCACTGGCAGTTTATATCATAACGTTATTTTTTGTGATAAAGTTAAGCCTGGAAAGAACCACATTTCAGTTCCATGACCGGATGTTGCTGGGTGCATATGCATGCCTTTCAGACGTCTTCGCTTTTTCCCCAACTCGTTACAACACCTGCTTTATTGCGACTCGCGGTGGCTCGTATCTCCAATTCACAGAATCATAATTTCCGAGTTGACTTCGTTGTGTATATAGCCAATGAAGTGTGAACTGAAAGCATAGGAAGCACTGGATAGCTGTTTTGACCTGGTTGGGTTTCATCAGCATTGCGAATCCATCTACTCATCTGGGGATCGAACCTGGGACCTCACAGGCAGAACACAAGCATGTTGCCCACTCGGCTACCGGCGGCTGATCAGGCCACTTTTCATTTTCCATTTACACGATATAGCACAACCCATCTTTTCGAGCTTGTTGCGGACCACAGACCTCACTCATCTCAGCACCCGCCTCCAGGGTTATGACTCGGTTGGAAACATTCACAACTTGACGACGAATTCACGTTTGCAATTAAATCAAATCATCCATTACTCACAAGAATCATAATTGCCGGTTTTCTCACATCGCGAAGTATGACAGTTCAGTTCAGTTCATTTCGTACAGACATGCAACTTCGTGCCCCAGTTTTGATTGTTTTCTTTAGACTGCCTATTTACATAAAAGGACAGAAGTAAGATTGTAATGTTGAGAGTAGGGTGAATGAGAGAGGATAGGGAATTCGCATAGGTCGCAAGGATGATGAGTGGATGTGTGAGCACCACTGATTTTGACACTCAACCATATCATTCAGTTTATCTAACGACCGGTTACGATGATCCCGAATTACCTATTCGACAAGCTTGACGCGACTTTTACGATTGAGTCTTTTGGTTAACGTTTTCATACCCTCATGCCAGGTCTTAATTTGATCGCGATTGATTTTTTCCACCCGCCACTTTCCTGCAGAAACATCGTACGCCGTGGGGATATGCGAAACACAGTACATATATAATAACATCCATTCTTATTCTTTCTCTTGATGTAATCATTCGAAAGGTGATCTCAAACATATCATCCTTACCAACATTCTCGGACTGAATCAATCAGTCGCCGCCTCCAGAAAACAATTATTGATGAATAGACAGACTTAATTTCTCCAATTGTGAATATCAGTGGCCGCAGCTTCGACTTTCTTCCTTCAATCATTAATTTTGTGTTGTTCGCCGATTTGGAGACCGTCGCTTTAGGTATTCTGGATGGGTACCTCGGGGTAATTGTGACTGCTGATTAGAGACACTGATATGCCTGTGTCGTCAACAGTGGCGGTCCTACATTTTCTCAATATCGTCGCGTCCTTAATCTACCTCTATTCTCTATTTCCTCATTGTCGTCATTTTCAGTATCCCAATCGTCTCTCTGATAAGGTTTGGCATTGGATGTTCGATTTATCTATCCACATATTCACTAATGTTACTGACCCCTATTTGCAACGCTTTATACAAATCGACTCGTTTAATTTTTATGCATGATTACTCAAAATTTCGAATCATGTCACTTAATTAGCCTGCTACTTATGAGTGGTACATTTCTAATTGCGGAATTCAGTTTTCGGTGGAGGTTTGGGAGGCCGCCGTCCGGTAACGTGCACTCTAACTGGAGCCCAGATACAGTCAAAGATACTTGGTACCAAAAGCTACCCGACTTCTTGCAAACAGCTAGTCGGGTTGATATCGTGATCTTAGCGGGATATATAAATGCTAGTGTAGGCCGGCTGACATCGAGTGAGGCGCTTCTGGTCCTTTCAGAACACGGGGAACGGCTGTTGGCTCTTTGATCCGAATACGCCCGATCGTACTAGAGCACTACCTTGGAATCCGATCACACATTAGTTTGCGTCAAGCTGTCCATGTGCTTCGGTGGGCGCTCTAAACGCACGATGCAACGACGGTTAAATTGCGATAAGTTCCCTCAACCTAGCTGTTTTTCACAACACGCTAGCTGAAAAGCTGGAACCAATCCCACCTGATAACATCAGTGAACACTGGTCGCTTATCAGGAATGCTTTACATTGTTTTGGCTTGTAGGTTATGGCCTGGCACGTCGTACCGTGACAACCTTGATTTCCGCCAAATCCCTGCATCTTCTTGATGCACGTCGATCAATTCTGACCGGTGGCAAGTACGACTTGTAACAAGACGTGAACTTAACGTGAACCAAAGCACAAACCGCGAAATTTGGTGATCTCATGGTGCATCAGAAATGGAACGTGCTGTCGCCATGGGAAATTCCCATAAGTTGTTCCAGCTCGTGTTGATCACTAGTTTGAAAAGCTCTAGGTGTGAGTGAAACGTTGGGCTCGCTTATTCACAAACATAAGCGACGTTTTGCACGCTGGGCAGAGCACTTCAAAGCACAGTTTAGCTGACCACCAGCGTCGGCTTCTCATACAGCTGTTCAAACACACGTCCCAAAGTTTATCTCAACAGACTCACCTTCCGAGACCGAAATCCGCAAGATCCAAGCCTTGGGACATCCCAAAGCACCGGCTTCCGATGGCCTTCCCCAGCTCTATTTAAAGATCGTGAAATGAATCTTATTGAAGAACTACAATTTCTGTCATTCTCTGCAGTTTGTACAATAAACGAGGAGCATATTTGTTTTCACGCCAGTCGTCGATGCATCGATCAAATCTTCACCCTCCGACAGTTGCTACAGCACCGTCATACTTACCACAAACAAATAATCGTTGCTTGTTTAGACATTCGCGCGACCTTAGACTCCATTGATGGAATCACACTATGGAGCTATTTATTTTAGAAATGGAGTATCTAAGACGTATGTGTCGATCCTTAAGGAGTTCCATTGCCATACCTCAGGTTGGGTTAGGGCTTATAGTCATCTTTCGCCACTCTTTGCCATCTCCAGTGGAGTGCGACAAGGCTGCTTTATATCACCAATCCTCTTCATCTGTGTAATAGAGGATGTTCTACAGGACGCTTCGCCCGGTCTAGCAAACGGTGGAGTCGAGATTCTACATGGGAACAGAATATGCCGGCGACATCGCCTTGTTGGGTGACAATGCACGGGCAGTGCAACTGTTCAACACGATTTAAACTAAATGGAGAGAAAATTAAACAAAATAACAAGTAAGAAGTCCACTGTGGTAACATAAACGGATGAGGTAGGGAACCGCGACAAATGTGTATTCTGTTATGTATAAATAGCAATGTACGCACTGTTGATGTCCATCTCCCGGCCAATGAAAATGAGAGTCGGCCGATAGAATCTCAAAGCGGTTGAGAATTTTAGTGGCTAGAAATGCTTGACTTAATTTGTGACTCGTATGCCTTCCTTTCCCTTGGAGCTGTTTGTTGTTATGTTATAATTGCTTTTCGTTCGCTGAAAGCTCTCCTATATTGATGATGTCGGCTGGTTGAATAGAAGTGTCTTTTCTCGGGGTTCTTACATCTATTGTGTTTTCTGGCAGTGGTACTGGACGTCATTTTTATCCGTTGCGGATTGAAAATAGTTTAACTTTGGTGTTGTGCGGCACAATTTATCTTTGCACATCATGGTGTTGTGGTGAATTTGTTCCTTACTTGGATCGAATTCCCCATTTGGTACGGTTTTCTATCTGTTCTCCCGATTGTTTTACTTTTCTGATTTGAGGTACATCCTGGTCGAGGCAGACAAACATGCCGCAGGACGTGCGCTTTGGGACGAGTGTGAACACACAGCGGGCAAACCGATTCCCGGCCTATTTTACCGCGTCTATTTGAGCCCACAGGTGGTGCTGTCGCTGAATGACCGAGGTATGCACGTATACCAAAGAAACTTAGAATGATATACCGTAATGCTGAGCTTTCCCTGTAGGTCATGTTGGCACCCCTCCCCTCCCCCCACCTACCCAAATAGTTGTACGCGTCTAAACGATGGTGTCGGGTGACTGAACTGATAGTGTTGCATACCCTCAGTTTTTTCACATCTCTAACTTTGGTTTTGGTATCATTTCTCTTGCATTCAATCATTTCGTGGTTGACCACAATTGTACCGGAGAGGTGGCAACCAAAGCTCGGGGTTACTCATTGTTACTCATTTACTCATTTAACATGGTGCTAATGAAATTTGTGGTATACATTACCACATATACCATAGGTTACCTAATAAGTTCACTTTAGTACGATATGATCC